CTGCGCCTGGCCCCGAGAGCCGGGCCCCCTCCCCCTCTCCGGGTTCCCTCTCTGGGTGCGCGGGGGGGGGGAGGTCGGCGTCATCAGCGAATGATCAGGAGAAGTGGGCCTCCTCCTCGTCGTCATCCCTGCTTCTCTCCTTCTGCATCACCCCTGCTCATTCCTGCTCGTTGTTCCTCCCTTTTCTCTTCCATCCTGCCTCGTGCGCCGCCCCCCGCCAAGACGTGGTGAGAAAACTTGGTGCACTTCGGATGCGGCCCGTAGCCTTCGCGCAGGCGCCCACCTCTGTCTACGCGAGTTGCGCAGACGAAGCGCTTTGTCTTTGCCTCCAGGAGCCCCGCTAGAGAGCCTGCCTTGACATGGTCGTGGAGCCACGCGACAAGTCTCGGCAGCGAAATCGAGCAAACGCCTCCTCGCTCCACCCTGCTTGCTTCCGCGCTCCCACCTCCCTAGTCGTCACTCTCTACTCCTTACTCCCTCTTCACTGCCCCGTTCTCACTATCTCTTCCTACCCCCTCCTCCTTTCTCCATCTCCTTCTGCTACTGCTCTTGCTCGTCCCCGTCCTCTCCTCCCACCTCCTCGTCCTCCGTCCATGCCTCCCCCCTCACTTCCTCCTCTCCCTCCGTCCCGCCTCGCCTTTCTCTCTCCCTCCTCTCCCCCCTCTCCTGGACATGGACACCGAAACGCCTCCTCCTCGGTCTCTTTCTCCTTGTCCTCCTCCTCTCTCCCCGTCGGCACAGGATGACGACTACTCAACGACACCCGCCAGAAAGGGGGGTGAATTTCGGACTGGCCCCGCAGAAGGCAGAGCTGCACGTCCCCGCCATCCATGTGCAGGTCACCCTCTCCCAAACAGGTGCTGAAAGCAAGGGATGGTGTTTAGAATCCCGTGGGCTAACGAGCCCGAGGAGGAGGGAGGAGGATGAGCAGTAGGGAGGAGGAGGGAGGATGATGATGAGGAGGAGGAGGAGGACGAGGAGGAGGAGGAGCAGGAGGAGGAGGAGGAGGAGGAGGAGGAGGAGGAGGATGAGGATGAGGAGGAGGAGGAGCAGGAAGAGGAGAGGGGGCATGTCATGGTAGGGGCCAGGGTATCTCCCCGGATCTCATGGCCCCCCTCCCCTTCTCCTTTCAGTGCGCCCCCCTGGGGTTCCCCCCGCCTCGTCCGCGCACGTGCCTCGGGCCATGATCTGCGAGCCTCCCTCTCGGACGCTTCCTCCTTGGCCTCATCCGACCTCGCGCCCGCAGGATCTCTGCTGGGACCGCCTGGCGGCGAAGAGCATCGACCCGCCTCCCGCGCGAGCCTTGGCGACTCAGGGGAGGGAGACGCACAGAGACCGATGCTCGTCCTGGAGGGCCCTCCCAGCCACAGCTGGATTCTACTCGCGTCCCCCTATCGCCCAGTCATCCCCGACAGGGGCCCGATAGCCCACACCGCCCAGGAATGTGCGGATTTGCTCTCGGGGGCCTATCGCCGATCTGTCGGTGGTATATTGCTGGTTCCAGCTCGATGTTCCCCCCCTGAGCCAGTCCTCCTCCTGTCGTTGCCCCTCAAGGACGCACCCCAGGAGAGGTCCCCGGAGTAACGGTATCGGCACCTTTTTGCTCCCCCGCGGGGGGCCTGCCACGTTCGCTTCACGTGCTCGCGGGCGCACGCGCCTCTACAAGTCTCTTGCCTGGCCCGGCTGCTCCCGTGTGTGTGTGTGTGATCGCTCCTGCCGTGCTTTTCCCCTCTACTGCGTGCCCTGCTGCTTGCGCCCACTGCCTCGGCTGCCGCTGGCACCGACGCTGCCTCGATCCTGGTCCGATCGGTTCCTTTCGGCTACTTCGGGCACTCCGCGAGCAGATTGCTCGTGAGTCCCGTATCCTCGCCCCAGTTTTTCCAAACCATCCTGTGGTGTTGGGTCTTCGTTTTGAAGAGACGATCCCTGCGTTCCTTCCTTCTTTCCTTCCTTCCTCCTCCCCATCCTCCCTCCTCCCATCCCTGCCTCTGCCCTGCGCATGTCCTCCTCGTCGTCGTATCGACGTCATGATCACCACCGTTATCGTCACCATCATCGCCACCAGTGTTGCCACACCCCTTACACGTTTTGTGGCCCCACAGGGAGCCCCATCGAAGGCCTCAGTGGCGGTGTTCGCATGCGTCTCCCCCACCAAGGACAGCGTTTCGTGGCCCCACAGGGAGCTCCACTTCAGGTCCCAGTGGCGGTGTGTTCGCATGCGTCTCCCCCACCCAGGACAGCGTTTCGTGGCCCTACAGGGAGCTCCACCTAAGGTCCCAATGGCGGTGCTCACATGCGTCTCTCCCGTCCGGAACAGCGTTTCGCGGCCCCACAGGGAGCTCTACCTGAGGCCTCGGTGGCGATGTTCGCATGCGCCTCCCACACCCAGGAGAGCGTTTCGTGGCCCCACAAAGACCTCTACCTACGGCCCCAGTGGAGGTGTTCGCATGCGCCTCCCCCACCCAGGACAGCGTTTCGTGGCCCCACACAGAGCTCCACCTACGGCCCCAGTGGCGGTGTTCGCATGAATCTCTCTCACCCCGTACAGCGTTTCGTGGCCCCACAGGGAGCTCCACCTACGGCCCCAGTGGCGGTGGTCGCATGCGTCCCCCCCCACCCAGGACAGCGTTTCATGGCCCCATAGGGAGCTCCACCTGCGGCCCCAGTGGCGGTGTTCGCATGCGCCTCCCCCGCCCAGGACAGCACTTCGTGGCCACAGGGGGCTCCACTTAAGGCCCCAGTGGCGGTGTTCGCATGCGTCTCCCCCACCCAGGACCGCGTTTCGTGGCCCCACAGGGAGTTCCACCCAAGGCCCCTGTTGCGGTGTTCGCATGAGTCCCCCCCGCCCAGCACAGCATGTCGTGGCCCCACAGGGAGCTCCACCTCAGGCCCCACTGGCGGTGTTCGCATGCGTCCCCCCCACCCAGGACAGCGTTTCGTGGCCCTACAGGGAGCTCCACCTACGGCTCCTGTGGCGGTGTTCGCATGCGTCTCCCCCCCACCCAGGACAGCGTTTCGTGGCCCCACAGGGAGCTCCACCTAAGGCCTCAGTGGCGGAGTTCGCATACGTCTCCCCCACCCAGGAGAGCGTTTCGTGGCCCCACAGGGGGCTCAATTTGAGGCCCCAGTGGCAGTGTTCGCATGCGTCTCCCCCATCCAGGGCAGCGTTTCGTGGCCCCACAGGGAGCTCCACTTAAGGCCCTAGTGGCGGTGTTCGCATGCGTCTCCCCCACCCAGGACAGCGTTTCGTGGCCCCACAGGGAGTTCCACAAGGCCCCACAGGGAACTCCACCTGGGTGGAGCGACCTGCGGAGCTGCGGAGACATGGCGTATTGCAAAGCAGGCATCGCCTCGTGACCCATGGGGGGGAGACATCCTCACACATTTCGCGCCCCCCCCCCCCTCCATAAGAAACCTCACCGAAGATTATACACGCGATCGCGGTACCTACAGCTGAATATGGTTGTGTCCTTCGCCAGGCGAATCTCTCCTTGGCTACTTCGGACACCCCGCGAGCAGACGGAGCGTGAACGCCTGGGTGCTGGGCTACGAAGGACGAGCTGGTCGGCAAGGCGGAGAAGGAAGATCAGGGTACAGGGCCGCTCCAAGAGCTACATCCGAAGCGTGTGGATCGAACCCCACCGTACTTTCGCAGGTTTGTCGCACAAGCGCGCTCGCAACCGCCGCGGTTGAGGGCGACAGTTACGATTGCGACGATCATGGTAAACAGGTGGTCACGACAACACTTCCCACTGAGAACAGTTCATCGGCATCAGCTGTTACCTCATCATAGGTGGCTGCGGTCCTTGAACACTAAATTACATTCTGGGATGGAACAACAGAAGGGTGATAGAGAGAGAGGGAGGGATAGAGGGAGAGAAGAAGAGAGAGAGAGAGAGAGAGGGAGAGAGGTGATTGTTGTTCGGGATGTAGCGACAATGCGCAAGAGGCGGCGCCCTCGGGCCAGGACGCATACCAAGTTGCACTCCCCCCCGCCCCCCCCATACAGGCCGTTATCGCCCCGAATGAAACGCAGCTCTCCAACATATGGCACATGCTTGGTGGCACCTGCACCTGTTCTCCTCCGCTCCACCTTTTTCCCCTCACCCGGTTTCCCCCAACGTCTTTCACCACCTTCCCCTTCATCTCTCCGTGTCGCCGTCTGTCCGTTTCTACGAGGTCAATACCTCCACCTCCTCCGCTCTGCCTCTTTTCTTCAAAGATATGTCCGAACGCCCTCTTGGACGGGAGCGCCTGGAATGCGACTTGTGCGCGCAGTCCCAGCGTGCTCGAGCCAGGGGTCCAACGGAGTGTTCTTCTTGTTTTGCTGCGTACGGTGCACGGGCGCGCGCTTGTGTTTGTGTTCGTGTCTGTGTGTGAGCCTGCGTGGTGTTGTTCTTTCTGCACGCGACTCGCCCTGCGTTGTCCACCCATCTGCGACGCCAGGTGGAATCAACGCTATCAGCGCGGCCCGCCTGAGCGCTGCGCGGCGGTAGCGTCACTCGGCCGTCTGAGGGAAGCATGGCGTTCATTTTTTTCCTCTCTGGCTGTCGGCATCGGATGGCCATGCTTGCGCACTGCTGCATTTGTCTCCTTGGCCTCGTTTTCCTGTGCGGCTTGGCCTGGCCTCCCCTGACTCGGGGTACCACGTCTTCGGCTTGGGTGCGGTCGATGTGCGCTCGAATGCAGTTTTGCTTGCGCGGCCTGCTCTTTCAGACTCTACTGTGATCCACATCGACGGCTGAACGAACAAGTTTGTTAAGCAGAACTTGTGCTAAGGGATCTACACACGCGTCCTAGTAGTTAATTTGATGTTTTGTTTGGGGTGGTCTATGGCCGCTTCGTGGCCCCCCCGTGCATTGCCTGGGTTTTCCAGGTTTCCGCCCAGTGCCTTCGCGAGGACGCCCCGTGGGCACCTCATTCGCTGGCTGGCGTTCCCAGGTGCACGTCTCATACCTTCTCCTTGTAGAAGGACGGGCTCTACCGCCTTCCTGAGCCCAGACTTATCCGCCCCCCACTGGGGCATTGCAATTTTTCACCCCAGGCAGGCCAGTACCGCCCCCCCGCGTCATCCCTATCAAAGGATACCGTGCGCGCGCATTCGATCACCTCGAAATATAACTGCTCAATATCCCCTTGCAACATACAACGGGGTCCACACGCGCACGCACATATCGAACTCAAACCAAACACACCAGTCCTGCGAGCATTCTAACCTAGCAACCTAAAGCAACATGTGCTGTTTGCTTCGAATGTTTGCAGATGTGATGCCCTCGCGCACTTGCTGCGCTCATATGGCAAACCGTCTGACTTCGGCAATCTCGTCCAGGACCCGCGTCCTTATCCCACCACGCGGTACACGCGCATTGACCTAGCATGCGCCCAGTGCACGGTCCCGTATGAAAGACCATGCGGGCCACATGCGCGCGCCGCCCTCGAATGTTCAAGATAGAGCTCTTCAACACACATGTGACGAGTCAGTTGGTTCCCAGCCCGAAACTCTGAAGTCTTTCTTGTTTGATTTCGCGCGTACTTCCACATCATTCTCACCAGCAGAATCTTCACCATCGCCAGCGTCATCACCACCACCACCACCACCACCACCACCATCATCATCATCATCATCATCATCATCATCATCACCATTGTCGTCATTATCATTGCCGCCATCATCAGAGTCATCGTCCATAGTCATCGTCGATGCCGGCACCCCCGTCAAACTTCTGTTCGCGGGCACTTCCTCCTTCGCCTCCTCCTCCTCCTCATTATTATCACCACCACTATCTTCATCATCATCATCATCACCATCATCATCATCATCATCATCACCATCATCACCATCAGCATCATCATTATCATCATTATCATCATCATCATCATCATCATCGTCGCCAGTCTCATTGTTGCCGTCGTCAGTCTCATTACATCAGCTCCATCGCCATCACCATCGTCGTCGTTGACATCGTATCGCCCCGTGTTCCACTGTCATCATCGTCTGCAGCAGCGTCCCGACCGCGGTCCTGATCATCGTCGTTGGCGACGTGGCCGTCACCACCATCTCGTGACCTGCAGGACGGACTTGCTTTTCCACGCGCCCGTGCGCTGGTTGAGTTCATGGCCAGATGAACTTTGCCAACATGTTGCGGGCGGGAGGGTGGGATGTTGATTCTAGCAGTGGTTTTGATGGCATCAAGTTTTTCTTCATGAGTTGTGCCATAACGCTTGCACCATGTGCGCACCGATAGGTGTATATACGTATAACTACGTATGCACCACGCTGCTCGCAATCCATATATTGCACGACAAGGGTTTCCTTACATCGGCGTCCCCACACATAACTGCACATCCAGAGCGCAATACCCCACTGTTGGGTTTCTGTGCGCACGTGTGTGACAAGAGGTGCGTCGACTTGTGCGCCCTGTGCCCCGACGAGAATCACGGCTTTGCGGAGGGAGCCCCCATCTCAGCCCGGCCGATCCGCCTCGGCGCCCGCGACGGCACCTCCGCTGCCGAGCGAACGCGCACAGCACACCTCCGAGTTTCGCGGGGGCGCGCGCCTCTCCCCCCGAGGGGCCCTCTGCGTGTCCCGCCCTCTCTGCGCCTGGCCGGTCGGCCGGGCGTCGCGCCGTCGCCGAGGGGGCCGCGCAGTTGGGCTCGAGCAGGCCCGCAGCTGGTGGAGGATGGTGCTGCACGGCTCACGCCTCTCTCGAAGACTGGGCGAGGGCTGCTAAAACCGTGGCTGCTACAACGGCCCTCCCGGAAGGAAAAAACAACTTCCCGGAATGAGGCGCGGCACGCGAAGCAGTCCACGGGCTTCTTCCCGGAAGGGCGAAGACAACTTCCCGGAGGTCGATTTTAGCAGCCACGGATTTAGAAGCCCCGGCTTCCGACTCTCAGAGGAGGAAGAGGCACCCATGCCTCTACCCCTGCCTCGTTTTCTCCTTTCTGGGGCCTCCTGGGAGGCCCTCGTCGCCACGGCTGGATTCGCCTCGAAATCCTGGTCGGAACGCAGCCCGGGAGAGGTCCGGGGAGTAGGGGTATCGGTACCTTCTGGTTTCCCCAGCCTCCCTTCGGCATCAGAACGATGGTGATGACGTGAAAGCGGTGCACAGGTCCAAGGTCTCGTGGGGAACAGGGGCGAGGGTGGAGTGCACCCTCTTCTGCTTGCTCCCCCAAGGAGTGCTTGTGCTCAGGCTGTCTTCTTTCCTTTCTGAGGGACTGGGTCTGCGCGGCGGTCTGGCGGCTACGCGGCCCCCGTCGCCGCCCCGTCGCCGCCTCGTCGCCGCCCGTCGTCTGGGCCTGCGCGGAAGTCTGGCGCTATGTGGTCACCGTCGCCGCCCCGTCGCCGCCTCGTGGCCGCCCGTCGTCTGGCCCCGCGCGGCGGGTCTGCCGCCGTGTGGTCGCAGGCGCCGCCCCGTCGGCCGCCTCGTCACGTTGCTTGGCAATCGCTTTGCATTGATTTGCTGTGCATTGCCTGATTTGCAGTGCGTTGCCTGGCGTTGCATTGCTTTGCGTTGCATCTCTTTGCGCTGCTTGTTGTTGCTTAGCAATGCTTTGCGTTGCTGTTTATGTCTTTTCTGAGGAACTGGCCCTGCGCGTTGGGCTGGCGGCTTTGCGTGGCAATGCGTTGCATTGCTCTGCATTGCTCTGCATTGTTTTGCGTTCCTCTGTATTGCTCTGTATGGGTTCGACGACAGCGCTTGCACTTCTGGATTCTTACTTCTGTTCGATTCCCCAAGCAGCGCTCGGGGCCCCTATTTCTTTTGTGAGGAACTGGGCCTGCGGGCCGTTCTGGTCGCCGTGTGGCTGCCGTCGCCGCCTCGTCGCCGCCGATTCCCGCTCATCGCCTGGGCCTGTGGAAGTCTGGCCTCCATGTGGCCGCCCTCGCCGCGTCGTCGCTGCCTGCCGCCTCGTCGCTGCCCGCTTTGTAGTGCTTCGCATTGCTTCGCATGGCTCGGCATTGCTTCGCACTGCTGTGCAATGCTCGGCATTGCTAGCTGTGCACCGCTGTGCGATACCTCGCGACATTGACCTGCAACTGCACTGATTTGCAATCGCATCGTATTGCGCTGCTGTGTATTGGTTTGCGTTGCGTTGCATTGCTATGCCGTGCGTTGCACTGCTCTGCGTTACTGTGCATTGCTTGGCCTTTCTTTGCACTGTGTCACATCGCTGTGCATGGCGCTGCATCGTTTTGCATTGATTCGCAGTGCTGTGCATTGCTTGGTATTGTTTTTTGCATTGCGTGACATGGTTTGGTATTGCTTTGCGTTGATGTGCATGGCTTTGCATTGCTTTGCTCCACGTTGCATTGTTGTACGTTACTTCGCATTGGTTTGAATTGCTTTGTATTGCTCTGCATTGCGTTGCATTGCTTTGCATAGCTGTGTATTGCTTTGCTTTGCATCACTTTGTATTGTCTATGCTGCAACACATGTTGCGTTGAACTGATTCGCATCGCTTTGCATCGTTTTGCTTTGCACGGCTTTGCGCCACATCGATTGCGCCACATGCACCACAGTGCTTGCAACAGGTGGATCGGCTTCGGAGCCGTGCCCTGAGAGATGGAGGAGTGGTGGGTATCGATACCCGCCCGCCCGCATGAGCTGGCAGGCATCCACATCCACGATCGATTGCTGGACGAGTCCACCCGAGAGCTGCGGCGCCTCTTCTCTTTCTCTCCAGCGTCTGAGCTCCCGCGGCGCCGAGGCCGCCCTTCAGGAGCCCTCGGGTGGAACATGGATGCGGTCGCGTGGTGCATGTTGCCACCTCCGTGCTGCCGCTGACGTGCGCCCCAAGACGGCCCAAGAGGTCCCGGTCCCCCAAAAGGCCCAAGAGGCGCCCAAGAGGCGCCCAAGATCGCCAAAGATCGCCCCAAGATGGCCCCAAGAGGGGCCCAAGAGGGGGAATACGAACCGACAATTCGAGCCTTCCGCCCCAAGAGGTCCCCTGGTGGCCCCAAGAGGCCCCCGAGGGAGCCCAAGAGGCGGGCTCCTCACGAAGATCCTCCCGTTCAGAGTCAGGCCCCGGCCCTCCCTACCCTTGCCCGGGCAGCCAGGCGAGGGCACAGCGTCCAAGACACGACCCCGCGGCAGTGGCTGTGGACAGATTCTGGCGGCGCTAGGAGGAGGAGGAGGAGGAGGAGGAGGAGGAGGAGGAGGAGGAGGAGGAGGAGGAGGGAGGAGGAGGAGGAGGAGGAGGAGGAGCAGGAGGAGGGCCGCGCGGAGGTCTTGGATCGGCGCTGGAGGCGTCGCCCGGGGGGCTCCTGGCGCCGATGCGAGGAATCCGCGCGGCGCTCCGAGTCTTCATCTTTATTTTTTACTATTCGTCTCCTGTCGAGAGCCGTTGGGCGACTGTCTCTGGACAGGTCTGCCTGTGGACAGATCTGTCTGTGGGCAGATCTGTTTTTACCCTTCCTTTTTTCATCTGTCTCCCGTCTGTGGGCAGATTCTGGCGGCGCTCCCTCGAGTCGAGCTCCGAGTTCTTGTTTCATCTTCATGCCATTATCTGTCTCCCGCCGAACGCTGTTTGGAAAGGGGGTGTGGGCGGCCGAGGTGGGCGCCGCCGTGGCGGTGGGCGCGAAGGCCAGCGTCTGGTCGGACGCCTTCGCCCGAGACTCGCTGGCAGGGCGAGGAGGGGAACCGTCTCCCGCGCGCGCGCGGGGCGGAGGAAGTCCAGGGGGAGGAGTCGGGCGAAGAGAGCTATGCACATGCACCGGTCCTGGCGAGGCCCATCCTTGACCCAGGATGGGTGCAGATGTCTTCCTGGCCAAGGTAGGAGGGCGTATGCACCGATCCTGGGTTCAGGATGGGCCCGGCCAGAATCGGTGTATGTGCATGGTTCTGTTTCCTCTAAGGAGAGGGTGGGGATATTGGGCGTGCCCTAGAATGTGTCATGGCGCCAACATCGCAGAGCGGATGTCGTTCGGAAAACGACAGGGTGGGCCCAGGGTGTCCTGGAGAATTTCGGTTTGGATTACGAGGTGGATTTCGTGCGGATTTTTTAGGGCCAGGAAGACTCCACGCGAAATTCACTTTGTTTTTCGCTCGCCGCTTCGGGCGAAAATCCACGCAGAATCCACGCAGAAATCCGCTGCAGAACGTCTGCGAGGCCGGTGCAATGAAATGTGTAAGGATGGATGAAAAACATGTTCATATTCGGATGTTAGCAAACGGTTCGTCAACGGTTCGGATCCATGTGCTCGCGATCTCCCAGGCCCCCAAGGGCCTTGTCCACTGCCGCTCGGTTGATGAGAAGCAGAGATGGTCAAAACGAACGGTCCGCAAGGTTCGGGAACAAACGTTCGCAAATGTTGTTTGGGTCAGCCATGGTAGGGATGCCGCTGTCCCTTCCTCGACTTGGCCTTCTTGGGCCTCCTGGGAGGCCCCCGCTGCCACGGCTGGATTCTCCTCGAAATTCTGGTCAGAACGCACCCTGGGAGAGGTCCGTGTGGCAGCGGTATCGGTTTCTTTCGCCTACCCCAGGGAGAGGAAGTCGGGGCTACTCCTTCTCACCCGCCTCCCCCCTCCTGCTGCTCGCTCCGCGCTTCTCGCTCCCCGTCGGGTGTCGGCGCCCACGGTGCCCGGCGTCGTGGAGAAATCGGGACGCCGCGAAAAAGCATGATTCCCAACCATCCTGTGGTGTTGAGTCCTTGTTTTGCAGAGACGGTCCCGCGTTCTTTCCTTCCTTCTTTCCTTTCTTCCTTCCTCCTCCTCCCTCCTCCCATCCCTGCCCCTGCCCTGCGCATGTCCTCGTCAACGTCGTCGTCATCATCATCGTCATCATCATCAGCATCATCATCAACATCATCATCGTCATCGCCATGTCATCATCACCATCATCACCATCATCATCATCATCATCATCATCATCATCATCATCATTATTATTATCATCATCATCATCATCATCGACGTCATGGTCACAACCGTTATCGTCACCAACATCGCCACCAATTCCGCCACACCCCTTACACGTCTTGTGGCCCCACAGGGAGCCCCATGTAAGGCCTCAACGGCGGTGTTCGCATGCGTCTCCCGCAACCAGCACAGGGTTTCGCGGCCCCATAAAGAGCCCCACTTAAGGCCCCAGTGGCGGTGTTCACATGCGTCCGTCCCCCTCGCCCAGGACAGTGTTTCGTGGCCACATAGGGAGCTCCACCTAAGGCCCCAGTGGCGGTGTTCACATTCGTCCCCCCGCCCAGAACAGCGTTTCGTCGCCCCACAGGGAGCTCCACTTGAGGCCCCAGTGGCGGTGCGCCCCCCCCCAACCCAGGACAGCGTTTCGTGGCCCGCCCAGCACAGCGTTTCGTGGCCCCACATCGAGCTCCACCTGAGGTTCCAGTGGCGGTTCGCATACGTCTCCCCCGCCCAGGACATCGTATCGCGGCCCCACATCGAGCTCCACCTAAGGCCCTTGTGGCGGTGTTCGCATGCTTTCCCCCACCCAGGACAGCGTTTCGTGGCCCCACAGGGATCTCCACCTACGGCCCCAGTGGCGGTGTTCGCATGCGTCTCCCCCACCCAGGACAGCGTTTCGCGGCCCACATGGAGCTCCACCCAAGGCCCGGATGGCGGTGTTCACATGCGCCCCCCCCACCCAGGGCAGCGTTTCGTGGCCTCACAGGGAGTTTAACCCAAAGGCCCCTGTGGCGGTGTTCGCATGAGTTTCCCCCGCCCAGCACAGCGTTTCGCGGCCCCGCATCGAGCTCCACCTAAGGCCGCTGTGGCGGTTCGCATGCGTCTCCCCCACAGCGTTTCGTGGCCCCACATCGCGTTCCACCTAAGGCCCGGATGGCGGTGTTCACATGCGTCCCCCCCCACCAAGGACAGCGTTTCGCGGCCCCACAGGGAGCTCTATCTAAGGCCTCGGTGGCGGTATTCGCATGCGTCTCCCCCACCCAGAACAGCGTTTCGTCGCCCCACAGGGAGCTCCACTTGAGGCCCCAGTGGCGGTATTGGCATGCGCTCTCCCACCCAGGACAACGTTTCGTGGCCCCACAGGGAGCACCACCTGGGTGGAGCGACCTGCGGAGCTGCGGAGCCCTGCATGGCGTACCGCAAAGCAGGCATCGCCTCGTGACCCATGGGGGGAGACACCCTCACACATTTCGCGCCCCCCCCTCCATAAGAAACCTCACCGAAGATTATACACGCGATCGCGGTACCTACAGCTGAATATGGTTGGGTCCTTCGCCAGGCTAATTCTTTTGTGCTGTTCGGATCCACCTCTGTGCGTGCCTTTTCGAGCTGGGCCGACCCCTGCGTACTGGTGCGGCCCGATTCGGCTCTCATTTCGATCTGGTTTCGCGATGCGGTGCAGATTGGTTCTAGGCTAAGGGAATATCGCCCCAGAGCGTTTCGGAACGCTCTGGGCAAGGCCGCGGCGCTCGACAGATCCTCCGGGCCCTCCGTCTCTCAGAGACTCTTGAATTATTCTGACCCGATTTGTCCTCATCTTGGCTTTATCTGAGGAAGGGTGGAGGAGATTAAAGGTGACTGAGCTGCCCAGCGTGGCTGTTCCGGCTCCTGTTCCTTCCGTTGCCTCTGCCGCTGCTGCTGACCTTGCTCTTTCTGCTCCTGCTCGAAACAAATTCCCAAACCCATCCCTGAGGCAATCCTGACCAGTTTATCGAGCTGCGTCTAACTGCGGCCCCCCACCAGGTGGCCCAACAAGTCCCCAAACGTTATTATCTCTCGCCTTCGTCGTCGTCGTCATCGTCCTTTTCCCCTCCTCGTCATCCTCGCTCCTCATCCTCGCACTCCTTCCTTCTTGCTCCCTCCTCCTCCTCGCTCCTCCTCCTCATCCTCTCCTCTTGTGCCTCCTCTTCGCTAATCTTTCTCACCCCTCTCCTCCCCTCCTGCCCCTCGCTCCTCGCCGTCGGCGGCGTCCCCAACATCCGACGTCGTGACGAGATCGGGGCGCCGTGTTGTTTTGCTTTCTTCGTTTGGCCCCACCTCTGCGCCTGCCTGCACCGATTCGTTGCACATTCCGATCCGACCCGATCTCCCGATGTGGTGCCGGCTGATCCTGTCCCTAGGGGACCTGGGGCTCGGAGGCCTGGAGTGGACCAACTTTGCCTACCTCGGCTTTCTCTGGAAGACCCTCCTCTCCTTCCTCCTTCGCCTCCTCCCTCTCCTCCTCTTCCGTTCGCTCTGTGCAGGCATCGTGCCGAGCCCTCTTCTCCTCCCGCTGGACATTTCCTACAACCTTCAGGCATATGCGCAAATATAAGAAGAGGGCAATTGAACACCGCAGAGAAACTTTT